TCGGCACAACCTCTTTCAACATTTTATTTCGATTTTTCTGCGAGACCAGCCAAGGACCGGCCGGTTAGACTCTTCCTTTGTCTCTAACAGCTTCGCCGGCCATGGTCCTCATCAGTTCTGCACGTTAACACCGACAGAATCGGATTTTGAATATTGGGGCTGTTTTCAGTCATTTTAACCGGAAATATTCAGTTTTTCCGACATTTTTCGTAACTGGGTAAGCAATTTCCAACCTTCTCTTGATAATATATGTTGATTAGAGCAACAATCAAAGTTTGTGAAGAGATTATGATTTCTAGCTACTGTTCACGCTATCTTACCAGAGAAATTTGATTGTTCATACGAAGTTTTAGGCTATAACTAATTTGATGAGTAATTTAGCATGATTAGGATGATTTTAGCCTTAAAATTGGTATAAGATGGAAACAACAGCAGCTAGCTAAGATTCCAAGGTACTGTTTTTATTAAAAACTTGAGAAAACCTTGGATTTAATTGTTAACCTTAAGCACTGATTGTAATTTGATGAGAAATTGAGAACTATATTTAGTTATTTCAGATTTTTATTGAGAAGTTAGGAGTTTTTGTGCAATGACAACAACTATCTTTGTTATATTACCTGAACTATGGGTTTGGAACGAAGTATATGATATTGTGAATGTAGTTTTCATTGGGGAATGAGTTAATTGGCATATGTTATAAGGGTTATGCTTATAAAATGTTGATTCCCTTAGGTTGGCAGCTCTCTTTTTGATAATTGGTGCTATCTAAGATGAACTTAGGTAGGAATGATTATATTTTCATTATTTTTCATGTTAGTTATTATTAAACAGCTTTATTCTTACGAGACAACTGCTCAATCATAGAATTCTTTAGTTAAGAAAAAGCTATGGATTGTAATTTTATGCCGGAGTGGAGTAAAAACTTTATGAGCTTTAGTAGAATCATGCTTAGGTCTGTGAATTCAGTTGTTTAACAGACTTTAGCTATTAAATTTTAATTTAAATATCTATTCATAGTACCATTTTAGAGTTCTGCTATTGCATTCTGTGTGGGCTGTACTTATAAAGTGACTGATTATTATACGTATATATTTTATTCATTTATAAATAATCTATATAAATATTGGATAGGGCCCAAATTCCTTGTGAACTGTTACTTGAAGAATTGGGCCTAAGGTTGTGTATGTGAACAGAATAGTGAATCCAGTATGTTGAGGCTTACTGCGAGCCTTGGAGGCCTTAAGCCTACCCAAGTGCTTGTGTCGGTCGGGCCCATAGTGACAGGTCGCGACAAAGTTTGTATCAGAGCATAAGTTGGTTCTTGGGAATCAATTGCGGAACTTAGGGCACTGTATGTAGAACTCCTATGTTGGGATCGGCCGTAACCAGCAGAGGAGGTGTGTTTTAGATTGGAATGCATTCTAGTGCTAGTGGACGCACCATGCACTAGAGTGGATGAAAATCTATCAGCAGTAGTATGAGTCACAAGAAGGATAGATTCGATATTAGGCATACGCTTTAAATATTAAATGTTGAAGAAGGTTTATTTAGGAATGCATGACTCACTGGTTTTCAGACTCAGTAATGATTGGAGTAGTTGAGATGGGCTGATCACCCATTGCACTTTCCTCCAATGATGACTGTGTTTCTGACTAGTGAGCAAGTGCTAACCATTAATAATAATTTCTAATTTTGCCATTAGGTTATGGAAGTGGAACTAAGCAATTATTAGTGGGAAAATATTGGGGAATAAGAGGTTTATGGAGAAACAATTTGTTTGGTAGTTTATAGTATAGAATAAAGGAACTTAGTTAGGTATGATAGAAACAGTTAGGGGTAATGATTGGACTCTTAAATAATTGCATAGTGATTAAAATGGACATGCTAATAGTGTAAGAATATATCTAGACAATTACACTTCACCTTTATATTTTAACCCTAGAAAGAGTTATCATACTTGAATTGCTAGTATTGTAGAGTATCAGAAGACTGTGTCAGAAGCATTGCTTTGCGACCTCATCATGTAGACTTAAGAGAGTAGTAGAGCTCGATGCTGTGTAAGTAGAATTTGAAACTTCAAGGCTGTGTATACCTCAGGATTGTCCAACCTGAAATTTCATATAGAAATGAATAAATTATTTAGCTTAATACAGATTTTGGTAAAGGAATTAAGGAATTTTGAAATGGCAGTAGCTAATCTAATTATTTGCTAATATTATTACTTTGGTATGGGACATATGATGTGATAAATCAAGTTCTTGGTGAGAAAGGAGTTAATGGGCAAGAAATGTATGGGTTCTAATCAAAAAATTCTGATTTCTTTAGCTTGGCAGCATCTAGCTAGTAAAATTTTATGAGTTATCTCAATTGGACCTATATGCTGATCCTACAAAAATATTATGTGCAAGTAACGAGAATTGTTGATAATAACTAAGGATGAGATTTATAAAGAATCATGAGTTATAGCTTGAGATGGCAACAAATGTGATTTAAATGTAATTTCTTGATGTGAAGTAATAAAATTAGTAATTTCTAATATTAACTGCATTTTTTTTTAAATCACTTATTTTATTAGATAGAGAATGAATGTTATACTTATGTCCTTAATAGGACAGAAAGGAATTGGGGCTATTTTATTTGTTCGTAAGTTAGCTAGTTTGTGATTTACTATTTATATGGAAATTTTGAGAAATTCTTTGTTTAATCTTGCTATATGAGAAGTGCTAAAGCTGTAACTTGTAATTTAGAAAGCAAAATATGATTTTCTTAGGATAATTTGATGGATTTGAAGTTTGAATTATAGATGTGTAGAAGTTAGGGTTCATGGAGCCCTATTCATGCAATTAGATGGGAATGAATTTGGATTTAATTGCCAACCAATTTTGTAAACTGAATTCATGATATTAAGAGTTATATGATTACTATAAATTGTGTTTTGTTGTAATGGCAGAAGTTATATGGGAATCTCCATGGCTTTTATATCAAACAAGTTAAGAATTCAAATTATACACCAATTTCTTGCAAGATAATAAGGAAATTGATGCTTTTATTGCTAGCTTAGGTTGAGATTTGAGGTCTGTTGGTGCATGGTAGCAGCCAGGTTGAAGAATTTCATAAATTTTTGCTTGAGTTTGAATTAATAATAGTGCTATAAACTCATTCACTTCATTTGTATTAGAAAAGGGTAGAGTTGAAATGGTAAAAAGTAAGAGGTGAAAATGTGGATGTTGTCTTACTTGGGCTTGGGCCAACCAATGCTAAAGTGTTAGTACTAACCAATTAGCTAGTCCGCTTGCCACCCTTATATGCCCATTATGGATTTGTTATTTAGTCGATGTGGGATTTTTAACATTCCCTCTCAAGAGTAACTGGGACTTCCGGTTGACACTTGAAAAATGAAACTCCCCGGTTGACACTTGAAAAATGAAACTCCCCTTTGATGGATTGTGGGAAGATTTGAGATTATACGATGTGTAGAAAAGGTTCAGGGTTCGATGGGAGTCCCTATGTCATGCAATTAGATGGGGAATGAATGTTTGGAATGTTAATTGGCCACCAATTTGGTAAATCTGCAATTCAAATGATATTAAGAATTTATGACATATTCCGAATGTACCTCCAAAATTGTGTGAATTGTGTAAGGTATGCCCGAGTAATTGCAAGAAGTGTATATTGTCGAGGGGGTTCAATCCGTCTCCTCATGGTCAGTTTTAAATGAAAGTCGAAGAATAGGGAATCAGAGTGAGATTTGGCGAATTCGACAATTAACTGCACCCAATGATTTGTCTTGTGATAAGAATGAATAGAGGGTGTAGATAAGCTTTAAGTGAGTGTTTTGTGTATTTTCTATGGCTTTAGGTTTGATGCAGATTGTGAAAGGTCTGTTTGGTAGGCGAATGACGTCATGGTGCCAGCTGCATGGATTTGGGTTCTTAACGGATCAATGTAGTTTGTAGGTTTAATTGCTTTGGCGGTATGTTAATTTTGAGGATATATAAGTGGGACCATATTAGATCCATCTCATATCACCATCAGTTGCATTAAGTCTGCGCAGACTTAACAGTATATGTACACACATTGAGTGAGTAAATAAAAGCTTTAACAACGAGATGACAGTAGTATATATAGACGTGTGGGCGGTCTTTAGCTTCGAGGGCTGGGCCGAACCAAAACGGCTAGAAGTTTGTTAGTACTATTAACCTAAGTTGAGGCTATCGCTGGTTCCTGTCACCTGGTAATCTTACCTGTATGCATAGTGGGGGTGTGTGGTATTTATGCAGTGAGGTTTAGGTGGGACCTTTTGTTGTTGTACGCTCATATACGCGGTCTCTAGAGTAGTGAAGGTATATGGGCTCTGGGCGCTTTAATTTCCGAGACGGGACAGATCCTGGACATCCTTTGGGAAAATTACGGACGCAAACATCAGCGCAGCTTGGGCGTATGATCCCTCGAGAGAGTAAATGAAGACACCGTCACTCCGTACGGGCTTTACATCACTTTGGGCATGAAGAATGGGAAGACTCCCCCTGAAAGCTGAAATGGGCTTTTTCGCCGCATTCTAGGAAAATCGAAACTGTGTTTCGGCATGGACTGGAGCGCACATTCCCATGCACAGCTTTCCCAAGAGCCTCGAATTTTCCGGGCAATGACGAGGGATCTTGTGGGGGAGTTTAGATATGATAACGGTCCCTGGACCTTACTTCTGGATTAACAACCTGTAGAAATGGAAAAGGTAGAGGTGAGATAGTGCTTGGAGATAGTGAGAGGACCCACAGTGCATCCAGTTAATGTTGAGACTAATGAAGAGATTGGAGGCGCCTTTACTTGGCTTGTGGTGCAGAGTATTTATTCTGATATATATATAGATATATAGCGCGGAACAGCCTCAGAGAGGAGAGTATATGTGAGAGGTAAATCTGGTGCTGTTCGTGTAGCACTCTAATTGTAGCTAGTCTAGAGCGTGCTATCCCCCTCTATTGGACGAGCCCTATTTACGGTTGACACTTGAAAAATGAAACTCCCCCTGAAACTGAAATGGGCTTTTCGCCCTTGAAATCGAATGTGCCTCGATGGGACTGCACATCCAGACGAGAGCTCGAATTGAAACGCAGTGGAGAATAATTGAAACCGGGTCGGACCTACTCTGATAACATATTAGAAATGGAAAAGGTAGAGGTGAAATGGGTAATAGGTAAGAGCCCATTATGTGAAAATGTAGATGTGGGCTTACTTGGGCTTGGGTCAACCAAAGTTAAAAATTTAGTACTAACCAATTAGCTAGCTAGCTTGCTACCCTTATATGCCCATTATGGATTTATTATTTAGTCGATGTGGTATTCTTAACAATTTGGTAGCAATCTTAGTAGTATTTAATGATGGATTTTAGAAAATGAGAGAATCATGAGAAGGGTAGCAGCAAACTTGATTAATTGTTCAAAATTTTGCAATGATAAGAAGAAAAGATGTTGTATATTGAAATTTTGATAAGCCATAAATGAGCAATGAACGGATCAATGTATTCCTACAAGTTTTGGTAAGGAGATTATTGTTTTCTTATTATGACAAGAGTTATACTGTTAATTTTCATGAGTTTGGCAGTACTTAGATTTGAAAGGAAGGTTGTATATTTATCATAAATAGGAAATGAATTAATTTGCATATGGAAAACGAGTTTTAATTAGATAATAGTAGTTCCTTTTGATTGACGGTTGAAACTATTGAATACAAGTTAAGGTCGAATCAATTTCCCAGTCCCATATTAGTTAAAGGAGAATTTCTGCAGTTAAGGCCTATGATGGATAAATAACAAGTTAAGAAGTTAATAAGCGGGATTTGGAAGCAGGAGATGTCGAGTCCTAGCTATGTTTAACTCTCCTTTGCGGATTGCATGATCTTCCTTTTCCCAATTCTCTATAACCTAACTGAACTTCGAGGACGAATTTTCGTAAGAGGGGGAGGGGGAGACCGAGACAACCCTGAATTTCAATTTTCAAAGTTTTTCATTTAAAATTTTAATTATTAATTTTAAGCCTATGATATTATAGAACATTGTTTTATTTAAATTAAACATATTAAAACCTTGTGAATTTATTTAATAAAATTCAATACAAATACATTTTGTATAGCTAAACTAAATCTAAAAATTAAATTAAACCCATTAGAAATCCCTAAACCAATTGAAAAAACCAAGTAAAAACCTATGATTTGGCCAAACCAAACCCTAATCAACTCGAACCAACCCCAACCAACTAGAAAACTATATGTTGGAAATTCTCATTTTGTCCTAAAACTATCTTCTCCCTTCTTCCTAATCGGGCATAGCCTGCCCTCTCCCCTCATATTTTTTGAACTTTGGCTTGTGTCCGGCCAGCAACAACCTCCTCCCTGCCACTGTTGCCTCACCGTTGTTCCTCCCCCTCCATTTCTTTTTTCGACTGGCACATTGATGGAGTGTGAGCTGCCTTTGTTTTTCCGATCAGAGCAGCTCCACCTCAGCCCCTTTTTCCTTGACTTTTCTGGCGACGCTAGCCAAAACCGACCAACCTACTTTGTCTCTAGCATCTCACACCACTGTTCTTCCATCTCCGGTTACTAGAGCTCGCGATTTAGCGAGAAAAAAGAGGAACAGCAAAGCTGTGGTTCCATTTTCTCAACTGGCACAACCTCCGCCAATATTTTATTTTGATTTTTCGATGAGACCAGCCAAGGACGGGCCGTTTAGACTCTTCCATCGTCTCTAACAGCTTTGCCGGCCATGGTCCTCATCAGTTCTGCATGTTAACGCCGACAGAATCGGATTTTGAATATTGGAGTTGTTTTCGATCATTTTAACCGGAAATATTTAGTTTTTCCAACCTTTTTTGTCACTGGGTAAGCAATTTCCAACCTTCTCTTGGTAATATATGTTGATTAGAGCAAAAATCAAAGTTTGTGAAGAGATTATGATTTCTAGCTACTGTTCACGCTATTTTACTAGAGAAATTTGATTTTTCATACTAAGTCTAGGTTATAACTAATTTAATGAGTAATTTAGCATGATTAGGATGATTTTAGCCTTAAAATTGGTATAAGATGGAAACAACAGCAGCTAGCTAGATTCCAAGGTACTGTTTTTATGAAAAACTTGAGAAAACCTTGGATCTAATTAAGCTTAAGCACTAATCATAATTTGATGAGAAATTGAGAATTATATTTAGTTATTTCAGATTTTTATTGAGAAGTTAGGAGTTTTTGTGCAATGGCAGCAACTATCTTTGTTATCTTACCTGAACTATGGGTTTGGAACGAAGTACATGATATTGTGAATGTAGTTTTCATTGGGGAATGAGTTAATTGGCATATATTATAAGAGTTTTGCTCATAAAATGTTGATTCCCTTAGGTTGGTAGCTCTCTTTTTGGATAATTGGTGTTGTCCAAGATGAACTTAGGTAGGAATGATTATATTTTTATTATTTTCATGTTAGTTATTATTAAACAGCTTTATTCTTACTAGACAACTGCTTTAATCATAGAATTCTTTAGTTAAGAAAAAGCTAGGAATTGTTAATTTATGCCGGAATGGAGTAAAAACTTTATGAGCTTTAGTAGAATCATGCTTAGGTCTGTGAATTCAGTTGTTTAACAGACTTTAGCTATTAAATTTTAATTCAAATATCTATTCATAGTACGAGTTTAGAGTTCCGCAATAGCATTCTGTGTGGGCTGTAATTATAAAGTGATTGATTATATATATATTTTAACTCATGAGAATTCTTTTAGTTAAGGAAAAAAAGGCTAGGAATTGAGTTTAAATTTATATGCCGGAATGAGTAAAGAACCTTTATGATCTTCACGCTAGAATCATGCTTAGGTCTTGTGAATTCAGTTTGTTTAACAGACTTTCAGCTATTAAATTGGTTAATTCAAATATCTATTCCATAGTACGAGTTTAGAGTTCCGCAATAGCATTCTGTGTGGGCTGTAATTATAGTGATTGAATTATATATATATATTATATATATATAATATAGATATATATATATAGATGAATAATCTATATAAATATTGGATAGAGCCCAGAATACTTGTGAATTGTTACTTGAAGTATTGGGCCTAAGGTTGTGTATGTAAACAGAATACTGAATCCAGATTGTTAGAGGATTACTAAGGGCCATGGAGGTTTTAAACCCATCTAGGTCCTAGTGTTGGTACAATCCATAGTGACGTGTTGTGACATGAACTATCGTTTCTCCTAGTGACCCCTTGAACTTTGCGAGGATTCTATCTTGATCTTGTAGTAACAAATCCTTCAACCTCTCGCCACGTAAGAAATGAAGAACGTGCATTCAAATGCGTTTGGGAGAGTGAAACTGATTTTCTTTGTTAAGTGAATGTCCCACGTGGCATGATTCTTAATTAGTTTGTTTCTCCAGAATTGATCTCATGAACAATGTCTCTTTCTCTCTCTCCAAAATCTATCTCATAAAGAGTGTCATTCTTCTTCTTTTTTAATTGTTGAGGGTGTGCTTCATTTCTGCATCTATACTTGTACTATTTATTTAAATTTGTTTTTAATCGCTTATGATAATCAAATGAGTGATGGTTTCTTTTATGTTGTTATTAAATCTAGGTGTAATTATATGCAAATGCAATCTCTTTAAGTCTTAAAATATAGGTTTGATGTTAAATTTTTTCTACATCTACAATTTAATTTTCTGAGATTTTTTAGATTAATTACTACAAGATTTTTTTTCAAAATTTCTAAAATAATCAAATCTTTATTTCTCATAACCTTTTTCTTTATTTGGATGGTGAACACAATAATCTCCAAAACAAAGCATTTTGGGTGGCTTAGAAGGAAAAGAAGAAGAGGAAGAGAGACGAGGGTAATGGTTATATCAACACCAACAACATCATTATCCTCATCAAAAAATTGTAGCTAATAAAAAATACAGTACTGGAATCTAAATGGTCACCATTATTATCAAGCATCATAAAATTCACAGTTTTGAAGAGAGAAATTTTTGTATGCCTTAATATCAATTTCTTTATCTGAGTTAGCGGCGATGATGGCGGCGGCGAAGGGGGTTATAAATAGAAAAAGGTAGGTGTAGAGTACAGAGCAAACGAGGGACAGTTGTTAGGGTTTGGGTTTAGTGGGATTATTTTCAAGATTAGACTTCGATTTGTGGTGTGTTTTTAATTAGTTAAAGCCACTGGGCCACGTAGTTTCAACCAAATATTTTGTACAATTGGCATTTTTTCTTACGTGGATTGTGGATTATAATTTACGCACTGTGCATTTCACTTCTTTTTCACTTTGTGGCAATCGGTACGGTTATTGAAGGATTGTTTAGTACAGAGTCACTGCAAAATTCAGGGGGCCACTAGGAGAAACGGATATAGGCAAATTTATGTATTAGTTCTAACTTCGATAGATATTGAAGAAATGAAATCAAGATAATAAATTTTTTTTTTTTATAAAGTTAAGAAAATAGATACTTAATAAATGAAGATTTAGTATTATCCGTAACGTACTGAGAGTTGATTTTGCTTATAATTAACTATTTATCTAATATAATTAACATACTACACAATACAGTCTCCTCTAAAAAATAAAAAATAATACATTTTATTTATTCATTAAAATTATTTTTATAAAATAATAGCCTACTAAGATAGTAATTAATTCTTGAAAAAATAAAGCAAAATAAGAAATTAAATTAAAATGACTTTTTAAATATAAGTATTTACCTATAAAATGATCATTTTTGCTTTTAACGCAGAGTCTAAAACAAAACCATTACACTATATAATAAGAAAGAAAAATCATATATATACATAATAAGATATTTAATATATATATATAGCTATAGTTTATTACAGAGAGTTAAAAATATAAAGGAAGAAGAGGAAATCAAGGAGAAACAAAGACTGTACGTATAAAATATATAAGCATTTTCTATTCAAACATGCACGGGATAAGTATGGCAAAGATTCTTCCCAAAATCACATCAAACATCTTTCTTGCCTTTAATATACCACCTCTTACACAACAATATCTTTCTTCCTGATAACAATATCATCTATCACATAATTTTATACATCAAATCTCTCTTTTCTCCTTTTTAATTCACATGCATGCTTTAAATTGTGTAAATAAAACTTATTATTACACCGACAATAACGCAATTTGTGTTTTATCTTTATAGGTTGTTACAATATAACAATAGCAATAGTTTATAGGTTGTTTCACAGTAAGTAACAATTGCAAGTAACACATATGAATTTTCTTTAAATGGGAATCTTAACCATAGGTTGTTATACTTAAAATTTAGGGTTAATTATAAATTTAGTGTCTGAACTTTTCAAAATATTCTATTTTGATATCTCAACAGAAAATATTTACAATCAAGTATTTAAATTCATTAAAATTTTCCAATCAAATGTCATCTGCTTACATGACACACCGGAATTACATTTAAGATGTGTGGTATTATGCCACATTAGAATAGCTGACATGTGAAAAAAAAAAAGTTAGATGTGTCAATTGGTGAAATGGGTGTATATTAACCACAAATACCCGTTTATCCACAGACTCATATTGTTTAAAAATTAGATTATATTGAATAAAAAAATTAAAGTATTTATCCAAATGATTTATATCATACATAAAAACGTATGAAAATAAATTAATACATAAATAAATATTTGAACAATGATAAATTAAAATTTTAATTCTAAAGTTCTTCTTATCATAATATTTCATTCAAATATAACGGTAATAGACTATTCAAGTGTAATTAAAATAAATTAAAATCAGTTAATAGAATAATTAAAAAATTCATATAATAAAATCGCTAAAAGTAAAATATTATTATCTAAACACTTCAGAACACTGTTAGCATTATGATTTTTCTCCATTATTTGGAATTGAACTCTACATCAAATATTAAAAATTAAATTTAAATTTCAAGATGTAAAAGTTTAAAAATTTGACCAATTCAAATTAATATGTGAAAATGAGGTGAAGTTATTTTGCAATACACTATATTAAATTAAAAGTAAAATTATAATTTATAAATATAATTTCAGGTATGGTTGGGTTTGGGTTTATAATACTAATATCCATACCCTACTCGTACCCAAAATAAAACTTTTGAATTTTATCTATACTCTACTCAAACCCAATCAAAACTTTAAAATTCAGGTTTGATTGGATTCGGGTTGGGTGCATATCCATCCGATCGGATTGATTTTGCCATCCCTGCTGGGAAGTAACGCCTACGGAAGTATCTCCCAATTTGCAACCATTATAAAGATGTCTCTGCAAGAAATCTGCTAAAGAAAGCATAACCTTTGTGTTTACTTTAGAACCCAAGTAGCAATCCAACGAAATTGAATCATAAAAATTATTAAATTTATAATTATTTAATAAAAACAAGTTTGTTTACCTACTATTTATGTTGGACCAAAGGTAAAGGTATCAAGGAACCCTCGACAAGAATGCAGGAAAAGAACACAAACATGAGAAATAACTTAATATTTTCAAGATTAAAAAGAGAAAATCAAGAAAGTAACCAAAGAAACAGAAATGCTTACAAGTCTTTCATGGCGGCTATCGTCACCAAGAATTATCTTGAAGAAAATGTGGTGAATTTTCCATAATAGCGTTTCTTCAAGATCTCTAAGTGGGTTCAAGAAACTATTGCTAGGCTACTTCGATAGTATGACTGTATGAGAGCTACTTTACTTATTGGCTGGCGGATAGAAACTTGCAGTTTCTCTTCGGTGGTTCTTAGAACGATTTTGGAACCACTGATTCTAAATTATTTTAACTAATTATACACCAAACCACCCAATCCAATCACACTGGCGGCCATAATCACTCCAACAGCGATTTTCTTTCCGCCGCTCGTTCCAAAATATCCTTTCTCCTTGTCACCGCCTGCGTGATTGATATCACCCACTTCCGCCGAGGCAGGTGCAGGTGACAGAGAAGGAACTGTAGAGTTCTGAAGCTAGTGACCCGGTGTAGGACTGGAACCAAGGAGATAATAGATCTGAAGACGAAGCAGCTGATGGTGATGAGATTGATGAAGTTGTAAAGGAGATCCAAATTCTTATGAAGGAGAAGGAGGCGATGGAAGTGGAAATATCAGTAAATTCCATGTTTATTTCCACTCAGATCCGCCGTGTCAGCAATTTTTTTAATGGGTTCGAATACTTGTAAACCTTTTGCGGTCAAAACACTAAAATAGAATATTTGAAAAGTCTAGACATAATAAAATTTATTATTTTTATTATAGTGAGAGCATAACAATGCATTTATTACATTCTAAGTGTAATAAATTCATTTAAAATGTCAACAAAACATTATGTCGGTAATTATTTTTATTATAAGCATCATTCTTGTGAAAAGCCATGTTATGAGGTAGTTAATGAGTCCTTAAACTTGCAATCATGGGTGGAAAGACCAGAAGCACTCATAAATTTAGACTTTGGACTGATTTTCACTAACTAGCACCATAACATACTACCCCACATTATATTATTGTCTTCTTGTATCAACTTAACTAACGGCTAGATACATTAAAAAAAATAGCACCTTTTTTTGAATGCAAAAAAAAAAAAAAAGTACTTAAATTGTTGAACAGGGACAAAAAATGTTAAGGATATAATCATTTGTAATGCAAAAAACGAGGAGTAAATAATGTATTTGACTAAAAACCAAAGGATCTTCCAAGTTATTTATTTAATAAAATAAAAAAGACAAGAAGGTGATAGTCAATTTAGGATTTTTGATGAACAGTAGAAAACTTATCCGAGTTCATATAGGCAAACGGTATAGATTGACGACCACATACTGGTCAAAATGGGGATATTCAGAGAACGGAATATGATCCAGTCCATTATCTGAGCCTAATATCTCTCTGTTCGAGCAAATTTCCGTTTATGGTTATAAACAAATATAAATAAAATTACCCTTCCAAAAACCCTCTTCAATAGCAAAAAAGAAAAAAGGAAAAAAAAAAAAAAAAAAAAAACCCTCTTCAATAGCAAAAAAAAGAAAAAAGAAAAAAAAAAAAAAAAAAACAGCTTAAACAACACAAAAAAAAAAAAGGAAAAAAAAAAAAAAAAAAACAGCTAAACAACACAAGAGAAAGCAAATTTTCATTTACTATTAAATTCAATAAATTCCTAAAATTTAAAGATATAAACAACTCTCTTCAATCTCAAGATTTCAAAAGACTTAAATAATCAGTGCTATCAAATTCATTTCTTCACTGTGTTCCTATTTCCTAAACATCACCTGAGGTAAAAGAACATAAATAGGCTATACAAAATGGACTTCAGTGCAGGCAGGAAACTACTGTATGTACTATTTAGACATCAGGAATCTTTACATAGGAAAGCCATAGTTTTGATACACCATGGAGCCTCTTTGATCATGCAAATGGCTTGCTAGAGGCATTTCTTGCAGAACAGAGACTGAAGCACCACCAGGTGGAGCTATCCAATTTTTATCAATATGCGGAGCAACTGAATTGTTATCTACAGTGGTGATGTCATGGATGCTCGATCTTTTCCTCTCTTTCTTCACAGAATTCTGTCGAAGGAAGTATTTCTGAGCATGACTAGCAACCTGCGTTGGGTTTCTTGACTTCACCACATTTCTTGAAATGCTTCTCCAGTCACCCTTGCCAAATGTGTTCAGCCCAATCAAAAATAACCTGAAACACCACCATAAAGAACGTCAATTTCAAATAACTAGTATCTAGTAGACAATATTGGATTTGAATAAAGATTTTAAATTATACTTAGAATCTGAACAGTCCAAACGCGGAAATCAGATTTCAAAGTCATTAATACCTTAACCCAATACTTGCAATTTGAATCAAACGACAAGAGTAAACGAAAACCAGACAATTATTTGGAAACAGTAAAATAATTAGGCATCAGGATTAATTAATTAGCAAAAGATAATTACTAAAATAGTAATTTTATTAGGAATTTTTTTAAAAAAAGAAAAAGAACACCACACACACGCGCACACACACATACACAAAGATCTTTCATTATGAACTGTAGTTTAGTTGGATTTTAGCAGCCCTAAACACGGATTAAAAGAAACAATTAGCTATCGATTGATTACTTTCTTTGAGGGGAGATTGATTACTAAATACATATTTTCAAATAAATAAATAAATGGTAATTGTACCTGTGTTCTTCTTCTGTCCATGGCTTTCCTTTCTTCCTCTCAGCATCGCCCTGCTTCGTCTGACTACCAAAAGAAATTTGATTCGAGGCGGCCATGGGAGATTCCCAACTCGACTCAAAGAACTCATCCGCATAACTCGGCAACTCAACCCTGCCGGAATCAATTTCGTAGACATCATGAACCAGAATTTCATAATGCTCTGTCACTTCTTGAACCGATCTGCCAACGTGTTCAGCGATTTTTTGCCACCGATCGGGAAAATCCTCGGGAAACATAACCAGAGCCTTCTCAAAAAGCTTATCCTCGTAGCGGTTCCAACGAGTCGGAGGAGATGACTGAGTCAAATCCGGAGTCGAGAAATTGTCCTGATACATTGTCTGCGTTGCTTTCTTGGAGATTTCGCTTATGGGTTTGGTGGGAGATTTAAGGAGGTGTGATTTATATACATATTATATACATAGATATGGTTATGATATGAGAGAGAAAGACGTGGTGACTGTGCATTTTGGAATTTTAAGTTAGTTTTGGACTTTTCTTTCAGTTTGTTTTGGACTTTTGTTATACAACGCAGCAGAGTTTTAGTTAAACACGGTTTTATTGGGTATTTGTTTATTTCTAGTTTTAAAAAACTCTGACGTCATCACAGTAAGTTTCCGCTTGATGTTACCGCTTACCATCACTGTAAAATTTTTCTTTTCTTTTGATTATAACTAAATTTTATAAACAACTTTTTTTTTTATTTATATATTATAACTAAATGTTTTATAATATATTCCAGGGGTCCTATTTTGTTGTTTGTTATTTTTTTATTGCTTGTTAATTTTTTAGATATTTTAAAATATTTATAAGATTTTTAAATTTAGATATGTAAATAAGATTTTTAAATTTAGCATAATGTTAGATATGTAAATAATTATTTTTTTATAATTATTTATTAAATAAAAGATTTTTATTAATATTTTAATAAATTAAGAATAAAAAATGTAAAAATAATTTTTATTCATTAGATTTTTTAATATAGGCGTTCACTAAATTTTCAAAATTTTAAATTAATATAAATAATAAACACCCTTAAATATTTAATTTTGTAATTAGCCCGAAAATACTAATAAAAGGTAAGCACAACTAAAAAAATATGAAGCGACAAAGCATTTTATTAAAATTAAAAAGAAATTCAAATTTATTTAAAAAAATTCAAATATTACGTGAAAACCGAAAATCAAATCAAATATGCGTCAAATGCTCACTTATTTATGAGCCGACGTCTACCGTCAATAATTACCAGACAAACAAAACAAAGAAACTTCAGTTCGTGGGATCGTTAGCAATGGGCTCCTTAACTCTGTTTTGCATATTACTACCAGTGATTAGTAGACACAAAATGCCTTTCGGTTGGTGGAATCAGAGCCACAAATAGAAAATTTTTTATACAAGATTTTGTTTTCTCTTTTTTAAAAAAATTAAAATGTTAATACAAAACATTGCACATGGGATATCAAAATAAAATTGTATCCATAACCCTAAAATATATTTTTTATATATTTAACACAAAGGCTTGTTGGATAATAATAGTCATTTTATTACTTTCTCTATTCACAAATATAAGTCATTAGAGAGTTATTTTTATTGTCTATAAATATAAATTATTTGAGAATATTAAGAAGTAATTGATAAGCGTTTTTTCAATTTTATCTTTTTATATATTGAATATATTAATTACTAATGATGTGAGATAGAGGGTAATTCACTTAAATAAATGAACTTTTTATTATAATTTAGGATAATTAATTACTTTTTAATTGTCGTGTAAAAACTTTTAATAATTTATATTTTTGAATAAAGGGACTAGTTGTTCCCGCATTATGTCACCAATTTATTTTAAGACTAAGTCCATATTTTTTTTTAAAAAAAAAAATTTGCTTAGATCTGGTCCATGACCCCACTTATGAACCAAGTAAATAAATTCAGTATTTTTCTAAAAAGTGTTCAGACATTATCTTTTTTTTTTCACAAATATGTGATCAGAAATACTTTTGTTTCAATAAAAATACTAAATTTCATTAGTTTTGCTCATAAGAGACATGAACGAGGTCTAGATAGTTTTTTCTTTTTTTTGTTGATTTTACCATTTCCATCATTTATTAAGCATGAAGTTGAAAGTTAAATTCCCAATTGGATATGTCCAATGCATAAACTTGATAAACTATTCTGTGTTTTTCGCAATTATTTTTATAATCTCTTAAACTTTATGAAAAATTTTGACATTTCATTAATAATTATGCCATCGTCAAAGTAAAATATAAAAGTGTAAGGTCATAATCAAAGCTCTGTAAAATTATTTTATTAGTGAAAAACATAGTTATTACTAAAATCATAATATATAAAGTTTTAAGGAAAATAGTTATAAATTAAGAACATAAAAAGAAAAAACAATTAGTTAGCTATAATAAGAAACCATATATCTAAATATCCTTCAATACGGTTAGGCAAGAAGGTAGCATGCCAAAGATTACCGATCCTTGTAAATATCCTTGCTACAGATTGACAATAACAATCTAAAACTTTTCGTCAACAAAAATTTGTAGCAGACAAGAAAGGGCTAGTAAATAGAAATTGAAGAGTTATCCGTTATTTACAAGTGAAGCAGGTCCAGCATGTATTGAAATGGACCATATAGTACACATATGAAGCAAGGAAACTCCTAGTCATGGACATTTCCACATTTCAGAAAAATTTTCCTGTGTTCATTTCCTTGTATAAAATACTATTTCCTCATGTAAAGTTATATTAAACAGTCATTTCTTTATATTGTTTCCACGTTTCTTTATTTCCGTTTCCGTGCAACACAGTAGTACCATGCATTTTGATTGTAAAAATTTTTCCTAACCTAATATTGTGCACACCAGATTCTCAAGAGACACAAGCATCAGAAAATTTACATACAAACTTCATCTGCATCTGAACTTTCGGTTTTTTTTTTTTTTTTTTTTGGGCAGATTGTGGGGAGGATGAATTTTCTTAACTATAATACCCATGAAAAGTGATAAAAATCAGGGCCCAAGTTGAGTAAATTCTTTTACACCCAGCCTTGTGGGAGAGCATCAAAACATTTTCTTCACCCCTTTGTTTGAATGACAGCAAATGTGGAAACAGGGAGAGTAATGAGCTTTTCAATAACGCCCTTAATGAAATTTGAAATATCCTAAAATAATCTTAATAATAGTTAATTGAAAAATTACATTTTATTAGTTGATTGGATATAATTGAATTTGAAATATTCCTTAAAAATAATCTTAATAATAGTTAATTTTTGAAAAATTACATTTATTAGTTGATTGGATATAAATTTATAAAAATTATTTTTAAATAAATGAGATAATTTAAGAATTTTAAAAAATTTAAAATTTATTTTTTAAAATTTATTTTTTTATAGATAATGAGAAATTTGGATGAAAATTTTTATATTTTAGTTTTTAAATATTTGATTTTATTTCAATTATAATTTAAAATATTATATTTAATAGAGAGATTAAAAAGAGAAAAAGATATATTCTTTTTTTATGTTTGTATAATTTGAATGGATATATTTTTTGAAAAATAAAATTTCAAATAAAGTATACATAATATTTTATTTAGGAGAGAGATAAAAAGAAAAAAATATAACTTTTTATGATTGTAGGAAAAATTGACTGTTTATTTAGAGAGGATATAACGTTTTTTATATAAATTTTTTTATTAATTAATTAACTTATTTATTTATTTTAAATTTGCAACTTAGAACAATGGAGAAACAAAGTATTTGAATAAAATCATTACCTTACCTTCCTAGCATGATTTACTTTGTAATTTTTTAGTCTTTTTTTTTTTTTTTTTTCTTTTTTTTTTTTTTTTGAACCATCAATATCAAATTTCATTTTTTAATTTTTTTTTTTTTTGTCCATCAATATCAAATTTCATTTAAGTTATGACATTTCCAGTTGAATAAGGAGTTAATTTTTAAAATTTAAATTGGTAATTATTTTAATATAATTTATTTTTTATTGTATATTGAGTTCTGAAAAAGAGTTTTATTCTTAATATTATTTTTTATTGTTTATTTATTTATTTTCTTTTTCATTACTGAATTAATTTTTAACCACTATCACTTTAATTTAATAAAAAAAGTTATATCTTCCTTGCATTAAATAATGGTCGTTCGATGATTAAACATTTTAAATTTTTTAATATTTTTTTCTTATATTCCAAATCTGTTTCACTTAAAAAATATAGTGTTTATGAAATTTTTTAAAAAAACTAGAACTGTATATTTCTATTTTGGGTCACTTTTTGAGGTTTCAAGAATTTATTTGTATGTGCATATATACTTTTCTTTAATGCATTGGGTAAGTAATACCGTCACTGTAGCCAAAGTGATTACGATCATCAATTTAGGTCATCTTCCCATTTATTTTCTTTACCTAGCAGTAAAAAATAATTTGTTATTATTTTTCATAATAGTTGTATATAGATATTGATTTTGAGTTGAAGTTAGGGTTGGAGATTAGATGATGCCTTGATTTTTTTTTTGGCACCTATTAGGATTTTAAGGATCTGCACTTAAAAATTAAGGACTAAAGAATTAGGTCTAGGGGATTGGGTTCAACCTTATTGTAACAGCTCAGCCCATGGTAGATATTGTCCGCTTTGGGTGCCAAACCTGGCCTGAACCCTCACGGTTTTGTTTCTAGGCCAGGGAAAACCTCCGCTCTACCAGCCCAAAACGCGTCTACCATGTTCAAGTCAAGGTTGCCACCCTTTATGTATAGACTTCCACCTTGTGCGTAGCCGATGTGGGGATTCGCCTAAAGATGTAGTGCCCAAACCTGGGATGTCACATTACACCCCCCTTAGGGACTCAACGCCTTGCCCTGAGGTTTGCCCCACCACCGGCCAGAGGGACAAGGCTTGGCTCTGAGTACCAAATTGTAACAGCCCAGGCCCATGGTAGATATTGTCCGCTTTGGCCTGCCCCAAACCCTGGCCTTGAAACCTCACGGTTTGTTTCTTGGGCTAGGGAAAACCTTCCGCTCTGCCAGGCCCAAAATTGCGTCTACCATGTTCAAGGTTTGCCACCCTTTATGAGGTTGCCACCCTTTATGTATAGGACTTCCACCTTGTGCGTAGCCGATGTGGGATTCGCCTAAGGTGTAGTGCCCCAAACCTGGGATGTCACACTTATTTTGAAACCACTTCATTATATAAAAATAGAAATAAATACATAAAAAGTAGTATTACAAGTAGCTTATAAGACAAAGTTAATAAAAATTAATTAACCAATTGTATTTATTTTAATCTAAACAAAAATTTATGATTTAATATTATACAGATAAAAAAATTAAAAGAGTACAAAATGAGTATATAACAAGCATAGTCAATGTGCAACGCATATCATAAAAAAGACTAATTTATATAAAGCACATAAACTCACCAAATTTAATAATGCAAATA